TTCGCAAAAACACCCCCGCACACACACCCATCAGGACCGTTCGCAAAAACACCCCCGCACACACACACCCATCAGGACCATTCGCAAAAACACCCCAGCACACACACCCATCAGGACCATTCGCAAGAACACCCGCGCACACACACCCATCAGGACCGTTCGCAAAAACACCCCCACCCACACACCCATCAGGACCATTCGCAAGAATGCCAAATTCCAGGCAGATGTCACAGTAATTGACACCACTTACAGGATCATTCAAAAGGGGGGCTTGGACACGTTCCTTGTGCTCGGAGGGAGCGAGAGCCAGTTGAATGGATGGACGTCGCCCCGGGAGACCGTGAGCGAGGCCATTCCGCTCGGGATTGTGCGGCCGGCGTCGTCCGATGGGAGACGACGGTGGAGATTTCAGTTTGGGATTGGGGCGGAGTGTTCCCCTCCACGCCAAGGGAAGTGCGGTACGGGTTTGGGGGAACGGGCGGACGGTGTGAGCTTACCTTCCTCGCCTCCTGCAGCTCGCTGGTGAGCCGCTCGTTCTCGGACACCGTGTTGGCGAGCGCCACTTTGGTCTGGCGGCTCTCGGTCTGCAGCTCGGCAATCCTGGCCACTAGGGAACCCTCCTTGCGTGCCGCCTCCCGCAGCAATGTCTCCTCACGACTCTCGCCATCGGCTGCCACTTTCCTCTGGTTGTTGCACACGTCGGCAAAGGCCTGTGCGGGGGGGGGTGGGGGGGGTGGTGAGAGGTGGAGACAAACAAAGTCAATGAAAAGAGCTGCTCAGCGACAGGGCTCTCTGGCCATTCAGCCCCCCCTTGAGCCTGTTACACAGGAACAGGAGGCCATTCAGCCCCCTCCTCCACGTCCTCGAGCCTCTTACACAGGGACAGGAGGCCATTTGGTCATTGCAACCTTGACTCCACTTTCCCCACCCATTCCTTCGGCATCTGAAAAACCCGCCCGTTGGGGCTGGAGAGATTTACCAGGATGTTGCCTTATGCTGGAGAGATTCAGTGATGAAGAGAGATGGGACAGACTGGGGTTGTTTTCCTCGGAGCAGAGGGGATTGAGAGGGGACATGATTGAGATGGATAGAATGATGAGGGACATAGATAGGGTACACAGGAAGGAACTTTACCCCCTTGATGGGGGGGAAAATCGCTGACCTTGGGGAGGGGGTAAGGGCATAGATTGAAAGTGAAGGGGGACAGGAGGAATAGAGGGAGGAGATGAGAATGTGTTCACCCAGAGGGTGGTGGGGAATCCGGAACGTACTGTCTGCAAGGGTGGGGAGAGACAGAAAACGCCCTCATCACATTGGAAAGAGATTTCGAAGGGCACTAGCGATGCCCAAGGCTGTGGCCCAAGAGCTGGGGAAATGGGGTTAGCAACAGCGAGGCGGTTGTCGCTGACCGGCGCAGACTCAATGGGCCGAAGGGCCATTTCCCCAGCGCTGTAGCCCCCTCCGACTCTCGGCAGACACGCCCCTCAGGATCTGAAAAGTTCTGACGTGATCCCCTTCTCCTTCTTTGGAACTCCGAGAGGACCATTCGGGACCTGCTCTCCTCCCTCCCTACCCCCAGGGATCAGCAAAGTGAACCCTCCTCTGAACTGGCTTTAAGTAGCGACTCTGTCTCTCCTTCAGTGAGAGGACCACGAACCGGACTCTGTTCTCTGAGGGTGGCCTCTCCGACACCTCAAAATTCTTTTGGCTTCTGCACTCCACGCTGAAAAATGGACAGCGACTTATATTTCTTAAACTATCATGAGGTGCTGCATTTTGGGAACGGCAAATCAAGGTCCTGGGGAGTTTTGCTGAACAGAGAGACCTTGGAGCACAGGTTCATAGTTCCTTGAAAGTGGGGTCGCAGGTAGACAGGGCGGTGAAGAAGGCGTTTGGTACGCTTGACTTTACTGGTCAGTGGGAGGTGATAACCTAGGGGTATTATCACTAGGCTGTTAATCCAGAGACACAGATAATGTTCTGGGGACCTGGGTTCAAATCCTGCCTTGGCAGATGGCGGAATTGAATTCAATTTAAAAAAAATGTCTGGAATTCAGAATCTAATGCGACCATTGTCAGGAAAAACCCACCTGGTCCTTTAGGGAAGGAAACTGCCATCCTTACCTGGTCTGGGCCTACATGTGACTCCAGACCCACAGCAAAGTGGTTGACTCTGAACTGCCCTCTGGGCAACTAGCCATGGGCAATAAATGCTGCCTGATCAGCGATGCCCTCATCCTGTTAATGAATAAAAAATGAAACTGTGTGTAGGAGTTGGGAGGTCATGCTGTGGTTATGCAGGACATTGGTTCGGACACTTTTTGAATACTGCGTGCAATTCCTGCTAATCAGAAAGATGTTAAGGAAAGAATGTTGCCAGGGTTGGAGGGTTTGAGCTACAGGGAGAGGCTGGGGCTATTTTCCCCGGAGCGTCGGAGGCTGAGGGGGTGACCTTATGGAGGTTTATAAAATCATGAGGGGCATGGATAGGGTGGATAGCCGAGGTCTTTTTCCCGTCAGGGTAGGGGGAGTCCAAAACTAGAGGGGCATAGGTTTAAGGTGAGAGGGGGAAAGGGACCTGAGGGGCAACTTTTTCACACAGAGGGTGGTGCGTGTATGGAACGAGCTGCCAGAGGAAGTGGTGGAGGCTGGTATAATGACAACATTTAAAAGGCATTTGGATGGGTACATGGATAGGAAGGGTTCACGGGGATTTGGGCCAAATGCTGGGACGAGATTAATTAAGGACGTGTGGTCGGCATGGACGAGTTGGACCGAAGGGTCTGTTTCCATGCTGCATAATCTCTACGATTCTAAGTGGATTGGAAACACTGTTTTCCTGCCAGACCTGCTAAGCCCTTTGCTGTTACTGTTTCTCGTAACACTTATTGTCTTCCTTAAGTACTTGTTAAAACTAAGCGATTCATAGACCAGGTGCCCCAGCAGCCCTCTGAGCGCCATGAGCCTGCCTGTACTAAATTACTACCCCGGTCGAAATGCGGCTTGCAGGAAACAATGCTGAAGAACCTTTGCTTTGTTTTGAAGAGGAAAAACAAGGAGGAAGATCCAAACAACTGTGTCTTTTGTGGCAGGTTTCAATGTCTTGTCTACCCCTACAAAGCAGTTATCTGGCCAGCACACTCCTATATGGGGAAGGGGTTTTATGCCGAAGTCGGGGAGCGGGGTGGAATTCATAACCCATATGCTGGTCCCTCAAACAAAACAAAGAAATGGAGTCTCTCTAAATCGGGGTACACACACAGACACTCTCACACATACATGTAATGGAACTAAATTGAAACCCTCATGTACAGGAGGGATGTCATTGCATTGGGGAGGGTGCACAGATTTACCAGGATGTTGCCTCTGGGGGCTGGAGAGATTCAGTGATGAAGAGAGATGGGACAGACTGGAGTTGTTTTCCTTGGAGCAGAGGGGATTGAGAGGGGGCATGATTGAGATGGATAGAACGATGATCAGAGGATTAGATAGGGTGGACAGTGGGAGCCTTTTTCCTCGGATGGTGATGGCTAGCACGAGGGGACATAGCTTTAAATTGAGGAGTGATAGATATAGGACAGATGTCAGAGGTAGGTTCTTTACTCAGAGAGTAGTAAGGGCGTGGAATGCCCTGCCTGCAAAAATAGTAGACTCGCCCACTTTAAGGGCATTTAAATGGTCATTGGATAAACATATGGATGATAATGGAATAGTTTAGGTTAGATGGGCTTCAGATTGGTTTCACAGGTCGGCGCAACATCGAGGGCCGAAGGGCCTGTACTGCGCTGTAATGTTCTATGTTCTAATGTTCTATGTTCTATGAGGGACATAGATAGGGGAGACAGGGAGGAACTTTACCCCCTCGATGGGGGGGAAAAAAAAAAATCGATGATTTGGGGCTGGGGCTGGAAATATAGATTGAAGGTGATGGTTCAGGAGGTTTAGAGGGATGGGGTGAGGATGTGATCACCCAGAGGGTGGTGGGGAATCTGGAACCCACTGTCTGTCTGGGTGGGGAGAGACAGAAACCCCTCATCAGACTGGAAACGGATTTCAATGGGCACTGGTGATGCCCGAGGCTGTGAGCTGAGAGCTGGGGAAATGGGGTTAGGAACAGTGAGGCGGTGGTCGCTGAGTGGCCTTTCCCTCAGCGCTGTAGATCTCTATGGCTGTATCGAGATGTTGCCTGTTTATAGCATAAACAGAGAGAGAGAGAGAGAGAGAGAGAGAGAGACATGGAGACAGACACACAGAGAGGGAGAGAGACACAGACAGACAGATACAGAGGGAAAAAGGTAAAACAGTGACAGAGAGACACACACACACATATACACAGGGAGACAGAGACAGGCACACAGAGAGGGAGAGTGACATAGACACAGAGAGAGAGGCAGATACAGAGGGAAGGAGATAAACAGAGAGAGAGAGAGAGAGAGACACACACACGGAGCCAGAGACAGGCACACAGAGAGAGAGAGTGACACAGACA